ATTTATAGGACACAGAAGAGGCGCTGGGATCGAACTTGTAAAACAAAAGACAGTTAAACTCACAACAAGCAAGGGAGTAATAGGTTAAGAGAGAGGAGAAAATAGAAGAAGTAGAGGAAAAAAGATGTCTTGAATGATAGATTTTTTTATAGCAGTATAATTCCTTGTTTCAGGAAAGTACTGCGACCATACATATTTCTACCTTGAAGGGTTAAGGATGAAACAACATACATAAGGGGCTTATCAACTTTGTATCTCAAGGTGATGGGCGCAGTGGCAGTGCCTCTCAGACCTTTGCGATTCAAAGCTCTGAGTAACCGTAACAGTTAAAGGTAGACCTGTCTGGCTGGTATCATAAATACCATACATTTTTGTCAACTTTTAAGAATGGCGGTTAATAATGAAAACTTATTAGGTATTGAATCACTTTCAAACTACTTCAAAGATGTAACATTAAGAAAAATTCATTCGATCCGGCTGGATCCGAACCAGCATCCTCAGGCAATCCGTGCCAGATGCTCTGCCAGTCACGGAACTAACCAGCAGACCTAATGAATTTTTCTATTTGCTTCTTGGAGAACTTTGTTTTTGGATTCTTAACTACTTTTTGCCGTAGCTTCATCTGTGAGAAATTAAATGTCGTGGTAAATAAAGCACGTGACATTCTATATACTTCAAAATGTCCAACTACAGTTTATTAGAATTTTCTACCGTTCGTAATTGACTTTTTTGTGTACAAATTGAATGTTGTTTAATTTTGGAATTGTTTTGTTTAGCCAGCCACCCTGAATAAGAACTTGTGATGTTGCACCCCGTTGCGATTATGCAAATTGGATACCGTTCAGATATTTTCCAAGTGCACACATGAATATTCAATGAAATACGCTGAAACTCGTGTTAAACAGGATTTTATAATAGGTATAGTTTTTGCAAAAATTTTCTTCCGTACATGTCTTTAAAAGTCAAAGTCAAAGATTATTTATTCCATAGGTAAAATAAATTTACACTTGAAAACGTCACATTTAAGCTACTGCTCGTTCACTACGCTGACCTCCCTGAGAAGAACGAGTAAGAAACTCTAGGGATTGCTCTTTTCAAATAAACTGAAATGCTATGGAATACACTTTGAATCAAATTTGTGTGGATTCTGGAGCCGTGTCGTCTTTCCATACATCTTTATCTAACACGTAGTCTTCAATTTTGTAATATGATTTTTCGATCAAAATATTTTTAATGTAGTTTTTAAAGTTAGGAAAAGATAAACTTCATATATACTCCGTAATCTTATTGTAAAAACTTATACAGTTCCCGAAAAAATAAAAAGTTAAAAATATTTTTACTTGTTATATGTACGCAAATTGAAATCATCACATTCACAGGCACACTACTGCTGCGTAAGGCAGATTCAGTTGCGAAGAAGGACTAAGAAATTTTAGGTATTGAAGTTACCTTTAGTAACCTCGTAAATATAATATGACCTAATTTTTGGGATAACACTATGTTAGTTGTCACATGCGATATGGTAAATTTGGAATATCAACCGGAATCTTGGTTATGTCATGGCTAGGCTAGGCTATGTTATGGCTATTACTATTTTTCATGAAAAAAAAACTGTTTTTACTGTAAATGACGTTTTCGTAAATGTACTGTTTAACTGCCTCTGTGGTCGAACGGTTACCGTGCCAGACTGCCATGCAGAGGCCCTTGGTTCGATTCCCAGTCCGGGAGATATAAGTGTACGGCCTACATTTGTTTCTTTCGTGAGTTTGGAGGTAATTTGTGGTTGCCTATGTGTGTGTCCATGGCATCCGCGACACAGGGTTTCACAGTGCGGAGCTATGTTGAATGTGTGCGTTATTATTGTTAAAAAAACTGTGCTGTGACGCCAGTGTAAGAATGTAAATTTCTTTCTTTTGTTTTACAACGTATTCATCATGAATACGGTACAATTTTCTACAAGTTTCGGAGCTATGCGTGTTTTACAGAACTTGCCGATTGCATTGTTACCCTACTTCATTCCGATGTATTATTTGACATTGTAATCCATCGAGTATAAAACCAGAAGTAGAGACGAAATGTCATTTAATTTGTTTCAAAACTATTCTGCCATATCATTACTGTGCCTCGATTGGCCAGCGCGAGTTCGAAACAATTGACGGGTGTCGTCAATGGGTGTCGTCAACTGTTTCACTTCAAATCGACCAGTTAACTTGAGCTTTGCTATAATAGACGAAAATTGCAAAATTACCTATTTAATATTTAATTACCGATGAAATTTGTAGTTGTGGACCTTCTTCGACGTGCATGTTTGATCACAATGTTTTGCTTCACCGAGAAGCTTGAATTTTGCACATAAATTCCAAGAAACTCAGAGGTCCGGATTCGGATCCACGTCTTCTGCATGGCAGGGGTAGTTCAAACTATTGGGCTACCACGGCTTTATATAAATGATTATTTCTGAATACGTACTACATTGTCTTAATATGTTCGAAAAATTATTTCTACACATTAGATTTCTCGACAAGTTATTGTCGAGAAATCTAATGTGTAGAAATGTGTCAATTTATGAAAAGTGTCAATTTATTTAAGTACCTTATTTAAGTAATTTATTTAAGTAATCAATTTATTTGGTATTTTATTGTACATTTCTTATGTTGTGTTTTTGAAATAGTATATGATGAATCTTCATACAATTTGGAAAGATTCTAGGTTGCAAATCGCAGGTAAATTAACCTAGAACAATATTCTACTCAAATAACAGGCCGTCTTTACCGAAGCGCTACAGACATTAGATATCAAAATTACCGAACTAGGAAATGAAACTACTTTTCCGGATTTAAATCGCGTATATTTGTTTTTTCAAACAAATCAACGTTTCGGGCCCTTTACAGGTCCTATGGTCACGGTTGACTGAGGTGGTACAGTCATCAAACAGTTATGTCTATAATTAACGCAAAACTTAATAATTATATACCTTATTTTTAATTTTACAAAGAAACATTCCAATTTGTGCTACATTACGTTTTACAATTTATTTTATCGAATGATTTTATATTAAGTTAAATTTATTATCCATTAATAATAGAAATGAGAATAAATTAAAACTTATTAATTAGTAATGCAGTTTGTCTGGGATTGTTCATATGTCTATTTGGGATTTTTCATCAGAGGAAATACTGGATAATAAAATAATAATATCATACATAAATACTGGATAATAATAAAGCCCTTTACAGGTCCCATGGTCACGGTTGACGTGACCATATGATTGGTTTGTTTGAAAAACAAATATACGCGATTTAAATCCGGAAAAATAGCTTCATTTCCTATGTGTAACAATCGCGAAAATCTAAGAACTCTCTATTACCGAAGTAGTTTGAATCGCGTGTCGCGAAAACTCGATCACTAAATGAAGGCAAGTGGTCACAACGCCACTTTGTCATTGATTGCGCGTAATCAGATCCTAACGACATGTTACAGCGCCGTGATCACAAGCTCTCTAGTTTATGGTGTCGGATTGCCATCTACCTAAACCTACAGAATCGCTGGATGCGGCATACCACTGCTTTAACTCGTAAGTGTAGCTGAGACTGCAGCGGTATATATCTATAATTTAAATTTTCCAAGTTACTTTACGTTTGTGAATGATGAAAACAACGTGTGCAATTTACTTGTTGAAGAACGTTTACAATCCTTGGTAAATATTTTGGGCCAAACGTCAATGTACTTAAGTCCGTAGGTAGAAGGGAACAGTTCTTTGAAATACAGCAAAGAACCTTTTACAGAGGTAATATTCATTTACCTCTTTTTAAATAATCATTATCAGAAGGCAAAAATTGCAGCCATATCTAGTCAGATGAAGAGACTTTATATGAGTGGCCTTTGTTTGGATAATTTCGGGGTTCCTCGTGATATTGAAATTGTTATTAATATTTATTTTTGTTTTATTTATAAGGGTAAAAGGATCTCATACTGGTTTAAATATAAGGTCTAGATTTACATTTTTTATATTTACAATACATGACATTGGGTAGCCGCGCCAGGGTACCCGTTTCCTTTACCCACGATAATACGTTGGGCAAGATAGATGCCAACTTGGGTCTGTCAGTCGTTCTATGCATTGGGACCCTGCGGAGCCGAAGTCCTGGCAATTTTGGCTTTTTACTCTTTCCGCTAGCTCAGGCATCTTGCTGGTGATTTGGAGGTAGGAAAGGATTTATGCTTGGACGCATTTTATTGTGTCCCCGCACTATTGCCCGACGCATGCTCCATGCAACAAGTAAATATTGTTGTATGTAGTTTTTCGGAAAACCCTCGTAAGCTCAACTTATCGTGAGACCGTTTCCACTTATAATATTTTATGGAACTTTAATGTAAATAATATTATGGTCATCTAAGTTAAACTTTATTTAGATTGTGGATATTGTCAAGACTTATTTCCTGTGGAACACTAATCTCGCAGAGAGCGATTCGCCCGTGATGTAGGTATAACAATAACACCGCACATTTTGGACACAAAGGGTCGTTATATCAATAATTGTAATTAGACGTTGGTAACCGATGACCTCACAACCTCTTTGGTACGTTGTACTAATGGAATATTTCGAATTAAGTTCTAATTTTATAACGTTTCTGACGACTGGACCGGTCGGCCGAAGAAATGTGTAAACATAACGTGAAAACCACAACTGAAACGAAACTCGTAACTTCTGCTGCGTGTTTGTAAATCGCCGCACCACCGGTTCGGCCATTTGGCTGGTAAACGAATTTGCCTGTGTTTATGGCCTAGTTAGGCTATCTCGTCATACATTCCTGGTAATTAATTAGTGGAAATATTGGCTTATTTCCACGCGTTTGGTCAGTGTTCGCGTGAAGCCTAACCTAACCATATATACAAGACGACATTTTGTTTTTTGCTTCGGAGAACGCGAGTAAAAATATGAGGTCCGTTTTTGTCATTTGAAATTAAGGTAGGTCATTATGCCTGCGCTTGAACAAATATGCAGGACTGGGTTAATTTAGATTCTTCACCCAGAATGTGCCAAAAAAAAGAGAATGCTGGGATTTTCCGGTGAGAAACGGAGATGGAACGCCCGAAGGCCTGATGCGGGTGCGGAGCGGGCAGCGGCGAATGGCGAGTGGCGAGAGGTGGTGGCGCGCAAGGGATGCGGCGGTGGTGGATTGCGAGCGCGATCGCCCGCCGGCGGTTAGTGTCGCTCTGGTCGCGGCGCGCGGTGGTCGTGCGGCTCGCGCGCGTGGAGTGATGTCCGCGAGATGAGACTGCCTCTGGTGCTTCTGTGGCTGGGCGCGGCGGCGGCCTGCGGCCCGGGCCGCGGCTTCACCCACCGCCATCCCCTGCGCCGTGTCATCCCCCTAGTCTTCGGTCAGCATGACCCCAACATCAGTGAGAATTCGCAGCAAGCTAGTGGTCCTGCCGAGGGCCGCATCACCAGAAACGATGAAAAGTTCAAAGACTTAGTGCCTAATTACAATCCGGACATTGAGTTTAAGGATGATGAAGGGACCGGTGCTGACCGCCTCATGACGCAGGTGAGTGCACGTCCTACAGTTTCAGTCATCTCTTTTGGTACTCCCGGGTGGGAAGTGTTGGCGTTTTCGAGAAGGTTTACGTGCGGATGGTGTGGCGACGGCGGTTCGGTGTCCGTGCGCGGATAGTGGCATATGTCTTAAGACAATGGTCCCATGAAGAGTAGTCTGTTTTGAAAACAGCTCGGACACACAGCCAGGACAATCGCCGGCGTAAACATTACGCCGAGGAACAATGGCTGCAAATTGCGGGCGTTACGGTAGCTTCGTAGCGAGTGTTCTGATTGTAGCGATGCAATTACGCAGGCTTTGTCAACAAATATTTGAACTCTGTGACTAATGGATGAATGATGAATTCCTTTAAATTTTGATGCCAGTTTTGGTGAATATATGGCCGTCGTAAAAGTTGGTGTCGAGGGCATTCAACGTCGTACGCTGTCATTCACGGGGCTTTTGTGAAAACTTGAGACAAGTTACGGGAAACTTTTTTTGTTGACTTACTTCATTGTAGTGAATTTATGGTTTATTTGGGGTCCGTTGCTCTTTATATTTTTTGTTCTTCAACAAATTATTAGACTTAACTTGTTTTTGACCACTAGTGTTTTTAGTATGAGGACAAAATACCATTGCACCGTGACACAATGGGAAGCACAATAGAAAGTGTTACATTGGAAACTATGTAGCTCAATATTAGAATTTCACTAACATTTTTTACCAGCATTTGTCTATGGAGTTCTTAAGTTTTCTGCATTGTTACACATAGGGCTATAAATAACTAAGATTTATCTATAGACGCAGTCATGCAACATTTAATCCAAACAAATGTGCTTGTCATTTCGCATACGTCTTCTTCGATATCCTGGTTTCACAACGACGTTGTCCTTCAGTGAAAAGCTAACGGTAAATTTTTAATTAAATTTCGGACATAAATTCCGAGAAACGCAGAGCCGCGAGTCGGGATTCGAACCCACGGTCTCTGCTTAAGGGAAGCCAGGTCAAACCATTAGACTACCACGGCTTCTTTATTTAAATATGAATTCTTATTATCTAACTATCAATCCCTTTGGAAAAATTATATAGTAAAAGTGAGGATATATACTGATTACTATATGGTGTGAAAATACAATTTCCTAAAAATTTGTACGATAGATACAAACTTACCTCGAAAATTTGCAAGAAAACCGTTTACATTAAACCAATGTTTTTTTTATATCAACTGAAGTAAATGGAAGACGTATAGTGTACGATATTTAATTTTCGAATGGTTTTAATTTGGTTTGTGAAATAATACATTCTGAAATAAAGCCAGTGTCCCGGCCACTCGACCCAAGCAACATGAACCGTATTAGTACGGGAAAAATTTGGATTCGACCTAAGGTAGCATTGACTCTAATCACATACTACAATATTTTTCCATTTCTCTAGTTTTCTACATACCTATTAGATTTATCGACAATAATATGAATTTATTTGGTATTTTATTGAACATTTGTAACAATGCCTTTGAAATAGGGTATGAAGAATCTTTATACAATTTTACCAGGATATATCTCTTATCTAAACAAATGTTTCATCTGTTGTCATAGGTACTTTGTCTGGTTATAAGTAGTGCTCGGAAATTCGGATTATTTTGTATCTAAAGTTCACTTTTTCCCATGAATGGCGGTCAAAGTATAGAAGCGGCTTTTAGAAATATACATTTCTTCTTTTTAATACCGGGATGACATAATTTTATATTTTAAAATTTTGACTCATTATAAATCTTAAAGGTCTGATAGTAGCCAGGGGTATGACAACTGGATCTCAGTATTGTGAACAACTAGACGAAGTGTGAAATTAAAAATCTTTACGGCGGTTTCGATAAGAAATTATATACTATATAATTTCTTTTTTCTTTATATTCTATATTATAATACTTAATAAACTGCAAATATTTTTTCTTGATGTCCGAAGTTTTTACATTTCTCACTTTCTTTATGTGACAAAAGTTAATTTAAATGTGACATAATATTAGAAATAACATTTTAAATGTTTATTTTTTTTAATTTTATTCTTACCCAATAACTTCGTCAATCCCGGTGTCTCAGGATTTCTACGGTACAAAAGCGCATTCTATGCAAGAGAGCAATAGAACTGTAAATATACAAGCATCCGATTACCTGGTTATGAAATAAGTAACTACTTGTAGCACTTATTTCTTAGCATATAAGCTCTTAACATTTACATATCTGTCTACGGTCAAATTTACATGAGATATTACGTTATATTGTATATTTTTATCAAGTCTGAGTAGAAATATCCAAAATTAAAGGTAGTCGACAGATAAAGTTTTGACGACCTCGCCGGCCCAACGATTTGCGCTATAAGCGCTGAATGAAGAGGTCTCGGGTTCGATTCCCGGTAGGACCAATTTGGGAAATTAACTTTTTTTTTTCAAATGAAGGGACGAAAAAGTTAGTAACAAGTCGACACGCCTGTCCGTCAGTTGCAGCGCCACTCAGAGCTTTAAATCGCAAAGATCATAGGGGCACTGCCACTTCGCCCGTAACCCTGAGACGTAAGTTGACAAGTCCCAAGTGCCTGTAATTTCACCAGCACCCTTAATTACCCTTCGAAACCGAAACATAAAATGGCAGTAATTGAACAAACTGTAATTTTTAACCACGAATTAAGGAGTTAATCTTACAATAAACTCTTAAATTCACCTATTACTACAGGTTTCATTACACTAAACCTTAACTTACTTAGAAAAACTGAGTGTGTAATGATAATATTACATTTATTTTATTTTACATTTTTATTCAACCGAACAATTAATTATAACAGAATAACAACAGTAAATAATACTTTATTTCATAATATGATCAATATTACAATTCAAAATTCAATATCAACTGATAATATTATGATCGTCACTAATTTAGATAAATAAGACAATAAACATTTAATTAGTATTATTAGGCTGTCTGTAATATACAGATAGTCGTAATATTAGGTATTTATGTCACAAAATCAAGTAATATGACCGTCACTAATACAAACTATAATAAGGAACATACTTTTCAAACAATTAGTATATAATAATAATATAGGTATTAAGTCATCTGTAAGACATTATTATTTACTAAATGATTATTACCATTAGTTACAGGGTTTTTACCACGGTACCACTTCTTATTATTTTCCCTATATTTCGGGATATTTTGGAACAGTTACTTGCTACATGATCACGGTATAACTTTTAAGGCAATAATAAGAAATCATCTGTCTGCAAGACATTACTAAGATGACTAAAGAAGAGCATTTGTGGTTGAAAATGACAAAGACATTTACAAAAGGTAATTGTAATGTAGGTGTTTATTACTCCATGTTGTGCAACTACTATATACCATCGCAAATATGCATTTATGTATTTGCTATATAGTTATGTCATTGTAGGTGAGATGTATCCATCGACTGTATGTATCAATGCAGCGCATGCGCGTTCAGAGAAGGTTACTTAAACTGTTCACGGGAAATTCAAAAGAAGTATAATATTTATCAATAACTATAAAATAAAGCATGTTAGTCGAGTCGGAGAGCGGTTGCTTCTAAATTGAGAGCGCCATTGTTCAAATCTCTGTCGCGGCATGTACCTATCCATCATCAGCTTATACGCATCCACTGCTGAACATAAGCCTCCCCTTAAGCACGCCAACTCTCCCAGTCTCATGCAGCCCGCATCCAGCCGCTGCCGGCCACCATTTTTAGGTCGTCCGTCCATCTTGCCGCAGGGCGTCCCACACTAGGTTTTCTTGACGTGGTCGCCATTCCAGAACAGGTCTGCTACATCGGCGATCAACCCTCCTGCCGACATGTCTGGCCCACTATCACTTAAACATACTATTTTGCGAGTCATGTCGGTCACATTAATTCTCTGACGTATGAACTCGTTAGTATAGTATGTACCTATTTAATTGTCTTGTGTTAAATGCGAAAAAGGTTCATAACCCCTGGAAAACCTTGAATTCCCAACTCGCTTCAGAACAGCGTGGTAGACTATGGCGGAAACCCTCTTCCTATTGTTATAGGTTTACAACAAAGAAAATATATTTAGACGTTAAATATTTTTAATTAATGTAATGACGTCATTATTGCTAATACAAAATTTGGTGTTTCTGATATCACACGTACCTAGTTAAACATTGAGTCAAAAACAATAGGCAAGACAAACGTAATTTGAATTTGTAATCCTGGTATTACGACCGATTGCCAATAATACACGAAGATGTAATAACTCATATGTAATCTCTGCGATGCTTAGTGAGAAGGAAAAATAAAGATGCCTTTCGGAATGTTCTTGGCATTGAATGTGTTGACCCATCACACCGCACCCTCAATAAATAAAGTAACTAAATACGAAATGTAACATTTTTGGAAATAGACAAAATAAATATTAATGTACGAAATAAAAATACACGTTTTGTCATATTTGGAACAAGCCAAACGATATATGTGTCCAGTGAGAATTTCGTTTTTATAAAAATCTGTTTCCTAGGTTTTGCAAAGTAACATTTTTAGAATTCCATTATTTTATTAACACATTATTATCATCAACATAAATATGGGCCAATGATGCTACAGGTCCTTCAACCTAAGGGCAAGATTTAGGTCATAGCCTACCACGGTGATCCATTACACATTCTGGACATTACAAGTCTTTGCCGAATTTGTACAAGCAGTTTTCATTGTAAAGTTTTTTTAACAGTTGGAGTAAGTGATAATTCAATTAAACTGTACAACAGTAAAGAGTTCGTGGTGTTATTTTTTTAATTTAAATCTGTAAAATGGACTTCTGTTACAACTAGTTTAATTGCAGATATTGTGACTAACATGCAATGTTTCCAGAGCTTATCAAACATCTGATATTTCTGGGGTAACTGAGTCGTATAATTTTACTAAGCTTTGAAAAAAGGGACGATTGATGTTGTTCTGTTTTAAATATAAGTATTAGGGTGTTTCAT